AACATCCATCACCTGCCAAAGGCAGACACTCAGCTAATGCACAGCAGAGGTTACCAGGACCGGGGCTCTGCATCGATCCCTCAGTGAATGGAAAAACCCTTATGGCCAAAAATTGTTCKGCTGAATTTGCATCATGCAGAGCAGAGTGTGATGGGAAGGTGTCATCTCCCCCATGGCTCCTGACTTTCACCCCAGAGCTGGGGTGAGCATGGGCATGGATGGCACAGGGCTGTCACCAGGCAGTGCTTTCAAACACAGCAGGTGAGGGCAGTGCTTTACAGAGCTGTGAGCAGTGGGGGATAACGGGGAAAGGGACAAAGGGAGGGAAAGAAAAACCCCTTGTGAGGAGCCCTAAATGCCAACTGGCTGCTGTGTGGAGGGCTGGGGATACCCTGAAACCCCAGTAACAGGCACTCCAGCATCCCATGGCTCCTTGCTGCCTGCACTGGGCTCCAGCATGGAGCCACCAATCCTCCCAGGCTCTGCCAAACCATATGGGGGTTTGGGGATCCACATGCTCCCTTTGCCCAGACCCAGAGGAAATGCACTCTTCTGGTTTGTGCAGCTCCCCCAGACACCCCAGCAACACTGTTACCCCAAATCRAGACCAGCACCTATGGGGTCTGAAAGAAGAGACATGTCCAGTGGTGACAGGGGGAGATGATGTCGTTTCTGTCTCTCGGCAACCAAAAGTGAAGAAAAATAGGGGACTGGGGGCACAGGCCATGGTAGTTGTGCTGGAATTACATCCCCACATTGCACAAATGTTGCAAAGCCCCAGACAAACCCCAATTTTCCTCTTCCATTTTGTTTCCAGCAGGCTGGGGTGACGGCTCCCTGCCCCGCTACTGCCCACCCTCCGGCAGAGAGAAGGGCCTGGCTGCTCCCGGASGGCCCCGGGGCTGTCGCCGGGCTCAGGAGCGCTTTGGGGGTGTCCGCGGTCCGGCAGTGCGGAGCCAGGGCGGTGAGCTCCATCTATTGTCCAAGCGGCGGAGAGGCTGGCTGGGATAACTCCTCTCTGTGRAGGAAACGCGCTGTTCCGTGCCTGAGTGACTCAAAAACGCTCTCCTAATAAATAATTCCTGTGCTCTGTAAAACCCGCCGAACGCAAGCCTGGTTGGCAGCGCCAGCTCTCCTCCCCTGCCTGCGCTGAGCTGCTCATTTACCGGGCACGGGGAAATGCCGTGAAACGCTTCATTAGCAGCGGAGCCCGCGGAGCCGAGGAAAGGGCGATCCCGTGGGAGTGAAAGCTGGGGGAACAGCGGTGTCACAGGGRAGTGACCCCAAACCACATCACCGGGGTTGTTGCTCTATTCCCTGCCCAGTTTCCTCCCAGCGTGGAGCGAGYCCCGAACAGGAGATGGTGGTGAAAGCAGGCGGTACGAGGCTCATGCGGGGCTGGTGTGGGAGCAGGGGGCTGCTGGATGCCGGGGTGCTGAACCCCTTCCCCGGGCCCTTGGCCTYTCCCTGGCCAGCCTGAGCTTGCAGTGCAGAAATGAGCGCCCTGGGAACAGCCATGCCGTTAATAARTGGAGCTTTGAGCAGTATTTACGGGGCTCCGTTTCCCGGACAAACAGCAGCTCAATGTCCCTTTCGGCATGAGAAACGTTGCAGTGCCAAGATCCCTCGCCGGGAGCCAAGCAGGGATCCCCTGAGGCCAGGAAAGTTTATTTGCAATCCCTAAGAAGAGAACGCGCTGTTGCTCAGTCCTGGCAAGGAGCTGTTCTGTCCGAGCTGCCCATCAGAGGGAAGAAAAGAGCCCATTTGTCCGTGTGAAATGGGCCGAGAAATCGGTAACCCCATTGCTGAGCAGGAGGCTGGGCTGGAGCAAAGGCACAGAGTGGCAGTGGGTCCCATGTCCTGCAGCAAGGGCCATGCCTCACCCAGCCCTCCAAGAGGATGTGTCCCCTTCTCCCCTGTCCCACCATCCCCGCTGTGGCACTACACCAGGGGCCTCCTGTCCCCTTCCACCCCTCATCCATGTCACTGTGGCCTGAGGGGAGCAGCCACCCTGCCCAGCCCAGCTGGACTGTCACATGGCCACAGAAAGCCACTGTTCCCTGCTGTGGGCTGCCCTGGCCTACACTGCACCCACAGTGGCCTTGGGCACTGCTGCCAGCTCTGTCCCTGGACCTGTGCCACCTCCCCATGCTCTTGTAGGAAAACCCAGAGGGAACATCAGGAGCTGTGCCACWCGTCTCGCTGATGGCCCTTGTGCCTCCCCGCTGGCACTGCCGGGGACCCAGCGGCATGGCTGATCCCACAGGAGCCAGCATCATGGGGCAGGGGCTGAGCTGGCCCCAGGACACACAGGACCGGGCTCAAACCCTCCAGCCCGGCACAGAGAGAGCTCCCATTAATAATTAGCCACTAGAGGGAACTACAAGGCTGTACAGGGAAGGGTTTGAGTGCACAAGGATGCGCAGGATCACAGGGAATTGCAGTTTGGGGGGACAGCGGCACTGGCACTGAAGGCCATKTTACTGCTTTTTCTTTGGAGCTGGCTCCTCAGCACTCTGCTGGGTTGCACCCAGTGCAGGTGACCGTGGGGCAGTGGAAGGAACGGGCACAGGGTCTGGCTGGCCACAGGAGTGGACTTGGCCAGAGCTGACTCGGTCAGAGTGGCCTGCGGTGCCCCGGTACAGAGCCAGCAGCGCCCTTGGTATGGACACTGTGGACCCTGGCAGAGAGGCCATGGTCCCTGCAGGCCTCAGACAGCACCAAAATAGCCGGGAGCAGCCTGCCAGGCCGCCTGCCAGAYGGCATCAACAGTTTGGGCCGTTTTTAGCAAAGAGGAGAATGTGTGTTGTTTTGGGGACATGCGGTATCCAGGGCCAGAGGGAAGGCAAGGGAATGGCCTGGCATCCCGAGGGACAATCAGAGCACAGTGCTTGGGACAGATCCCAGTGGAGGAGCCCCAGCTCTGGACGGGAAGAGCAATCTCAGGGAGGGACAACCAGGGGACAAGGGTTCCCATGGGACTGGGCTCCATGCCATGAGCCCACCGGGACAGGACAGTGGTGGGCACTGAGGGCCCCAGCCCCATGGCACAGCCCCTGCCAACAGGGCCTGGATAGTCACAGCCTCCTGCTGAGGCAGCCATCCCGACCTCCCTGCAACCAAAGTGCAGCAGGGATCTGAYGGAGCACAGCTGATAATGAGCCTCTGTTCTATTTTATTCCTGTTTATAGATAGCTAAATATAACCTTGTGCTTATTTTTAATTCTTACTGAAAGCTGCGAGCCACAATCCATCAAGTCAGCTCTGTGTTTTTCATATTGGCTGGCTTTCACCAGATCCAAGAGGGAAAACATCCAGGCTCAGCACAAGGCCTGAAGCCAAGTCAGGTACTGGCAGCATGTCCCTTGCAGGGAGCTGGTGACCACGGAGCACAGCAGAGATAGCATTGCAGGACTTGTGAGCAGCARCTTTCCCTGTGCCAAACCAGCCCAAGGCCATCCAGAGCTGCTGTCCCTGAGCACARTAGCTGTGGGCACTGCCAGGACAGCCCACATTTGGTGGCAGGTTTTTCTTGTCACCAGGCAGAGCCAAAGGCATTTTACTTGTTTTCCTATCACAAAGGCAGAAGCAGCTCCTTGGATTGTACAATATCTCCCTCTGCAGCAGGAATGGGAGCCAGCACCAATGTGTCAGCACCAAGTGTACAATACAACATAACCACAAGCAAGTGTGCCAGGGTTGTATTGGCTGGTTGCACCCTTAGAGATAAACTTCCACCTCTCTTCTGGAAGGCAGGGATAATGTTTGGGAAGATGTTTGATGGACCACTGAAAAATTGATCACAGTGATATTTCCCTGACAAGTGAATTGGAAAACCAGGAGGTAATTGCAGCACTACCTGAGGTCTAATCTTCAGCTCCTGGCAGCCTAACTAATACCCCAGTGATACATTTCAGGGTTCACACTGAAAGCTGGCAGGGGAACCAGCCTTGCCTTGCTCACACTTGGGGAATGGGCAGCTGAAAACCTCTCACTCCACAGCAAAAGCAGGTCCCATTTCAGTTCCAAGGTCCTCCATTCATTGCTCAGGAGATTTTGACAGAAACATTGGCATTGCACACATACAATTGCATGTGGCTCTAGAAAATCACATAACACAACAGATCCGACTAGATCACTGTCATACTTTACTGGGGTTGCATGAGAGATTGTTTTAAGTCTCAATATTGCATGGAAAACCCATCAYCCAACAAAAACTAAAAATTTTCTTCAAATGCTGGACTAAGGGCCTGACCAAAACAAGACAGGCTGTATGCAGTTGTCCTGCRGCTCCTCCCTTCTGCACCCTCTCCTCAGGCTTAAAAATTCATTCTTGCTGACTCACAGCTCTACATACAAAAAGTTATTTATGTGCTCATTTATCCATGTTTTTAGTCCCTCCAGATAGCCAGGTCTTGAAAACAACTCAGCAATCAGAATACTGCCAGGCTGGCATTCACTTGGACAAGTTTCCTCTCACAAGCACACCAGCTCCCCGTGCCCAGTTGCAACACCACACATCACACCACACATCACACATTTTCCTGGTGTGATTTTGGGAGCCCAGGCTTGCCAAAGTTCCACCTAGCTAACTTTGAACTGCCCCAGAGCAGCTGCAGTGGAAAGCCTCTGCTAGCTGAGCATCAACCTCTGTTTTGGAAGGAGGGAAACACAGCRAGAAAGAGACTTTGTTTTGACCTAAAGCCAAGAAGCTCAATAGGTGGAAAGCCATCCTAGAGTTGAAATAATTCCAGTCATTTACAATAGTGCTGGCACAAGTTTGGGTGCCTTAAAAAGGAACTCTCCCYCAGTTCTGCCCTCCCCCTTGGGCAGCTGTGCCCTTCTTTGGTATGGCAGCAGCCTCCAGGCACGAACAGTTCTTGCAGTTAAAAGGAGAAGCTCAAACTTATCCCACAATAATTCATTTACTGAGCCATGTGTGCATTACTGCAAGGCTGGAGACACATTCTCCACCAGCCACTAAAAACATTTCCCAGTTTGCAGAGAGCAGCAGCCTGTGCTGGACAAGCCCAGCCCTGGTTGAGCACGCTCTCACACGAGCTCTCCAGCAAACCATTGCTCTTCYAGTTCCTGTCCAATTCCCAAACCCATCTTTTCCCTGTAAGGCCATCTTCACAAGCTATCCCAGTGGATTATATATGTGTTCCAAAACTTAGATGATGTCCAGGAAAAATTAATGGGAAAACCCAACTTTTAGGTCAGCATGCGCAATAGCAAATGGAAAATGCAGTGTCTGAGCTGACAGCTCCCCGTGCCCTTAGGGATAGCAATGCGATAGTCAGACTTCATTCTCTAAACAGACTGCAGCAAGCCAACCAGGACTCAAAGCAGCTGGTAAGCACGATTTTTTTTTCCCTCCTTACTAAGTTCAGGASTTTCTCTTCTTTTGGGCTGAATGGGACAGACTTTTCTATTTGAAAGAAGTTTCCTTTCTCAGAGTTATTCTCATGATAGCCAGAGAGTATTTTAAACCAAGAATAGCTGATCTCCATTAGATTCATACTGCCCTTTTTGGAAACACTATTTAGAGAACAGAACTCCTAAATCAAAAAGTAGTCAGKAACAACGGTGAAAAACTGCATGGCTGTAACAGTAAGTACTGCACCGGCWYCTTTCAATCMACCTTTTTCCTCAAAGATTCCAGGRAAGATTGGGTGTGCCCCAAATCTCCCTGCATCACATGAGTTCCTCACCAGAAACCTGCGCCGCTCACATTTAAGGTGTGAGCCCCCTGGAGCAAGTCACTGCTGGAACATCAGCAAAAACTACGTTACGAGAATTAAAAAAAGAAAAAAGTTTGGCGTAAGCCAAATCCTGGTTAATACCCTTTGAGGAAAATTCTCTAGTGGGAAAACAGATGGATTTTTCGGTTTGTTTTGCGCAGAAAGGTGTGGAGGATTTGAGTATGTAATATTTATATAGTGCTGTCTGCAGTCTAAATTCAGAATCATTATGTAGCCCTTAGGAAGGCATTGTTCTCATAGAGCATACACTGGTTTCTGCTGATAAATGAATAAGCTTCATACAATGCATATGCACTTTTGATACAGCAGCAGCCAAGGCAGTAACTGAAAGCCACCAGCAGTATTCATCTATTAATGTTCATCTATTTCTTGTCCAAAAGGTATGACATTCAAATATAGCAGACTATTTTATGTTAAAATGATGCTGAGCATCACATGGAAAACCAAAAGGAAATGGGAAAGATTGARTAAAGGGCTGTCACTCCTAAACCAGAGTTTGAACTCAGATCTAGCAGACACAGCTTAAAACTTCCCCTTTGTGAGACATATTTATGCCACAGAATTCCTTGGCTTCTCAAGCACAGAAACCACCTGTGYTTGAGTTAAAYTGCAGGGATAGAAGTATTTYTCTCCTTGWGTATGACAGTGCTTTTCTCRTGAGMARGGRGAGCAYTGAGTGTGTGATGTGTGTGCACCGATGCTGGGGAGGGCATGGCTCTGAGCCCTCCAGAGCAAACTGGCTGGGCAGCTGCCAGGAAAGCTCCCTGCAGCCCTGCTTTGGCTCCTCACACCTGCATCGCTTGTAACCTTACAGGAGGGGRTTACTTTRYACCAGTAGAAGACCTGGCTGTGGGRCACACCACTAAAACTRAAATATTTGAGTTCCAGGTAGCATACAAGAAAGCAGAACTAACCCCAACAAAATCACCCCTCACACTGCTCAAGAAATACAATTTTGAGCCAGATTTTTATGGATCACCACCGTATTTTAACACAGTTAGGTGTTCCCAGACATCCTGTGCTGATTTTGGAAGGGTGCATGTGTGAACCTGAGCTGGAAGGGACCCAAGCAGGGGTGACAAGGGCCCCACTGGCACATTGCAAGGGGGCCATGATGCAGTGGGATCACCATGCACACCCTTGCTTTGCAAACCAAGCCACTTTCAGGATTTTTAGACATYGGTTTCACTGGTCCATGCTGCTCCTTGGACAATCTCTACATCCCTTGCAAAGGGGCATTTTGCTTCCCTAAGTGCAGGGATCCAGGAACACTGCTTATGCCTCAGGCTGTGCCCACTGGATCCCACAGCACCCTCAGCCCCAAAAATGCCCCAAGCCAGGGCACTGGTTCCATCTCAGAGTGCTGTGTGGCTGCTGGATGGCTGGACCCTGACTGGGCGGGCATGGATTTGGAAGTTTCCTGATTTTGTGTTAGGCACTGCCCACCAAAGTCATTAAACAGAGCTTTCAAGTTTTTTTCAAAGCCCYCTCAATATCCTGCAAAAACTGAAATCATGGTTATGAAATCATAACCTCTTTGTTATTGTTGTAGTTTAATCCCAGCTTGCAACCGAGTCCCACAGAGCCACTCTCTCACCTCTGCTACAGCAGGATGGGGGAGAGAGAATTGCACTGGTAAAACTGAGAACATTCATGGGTAGAGCTAAKAACAATGTAATAATTGAAATAAAACAGTRAGAAATTGTAATGGAAAAGAAAATAACAGAGACAAATAAACCCCAAGCAAGACAAGTGATGCAAATKAAAACAGTTGCTCAGCACCAAGTGACCAATGTCCAGCCAGTCCCTGAGCAGCAGTCTGGGACCAGCCTTACCCAGCTTTACAGCTGCCCATGATGTCATGGCATAGAATGTCCCTCGGGTCACTTGGGGTCAGCTGTCCTGGCTGTGCCCCCTCCCAACTCCCTGTGCACCCCCAGCCTCCTCGCTGGTGAGGTGAGGAGCAGAAAAAAGCCTTGACGATGTGCAAGGACTGCTCAGCAATAACAAAAACTTCCCTGTGTYATCAGCCCTGTGTTCAGCACAAACCCAAAATACAACCCATGCTATCCACTACGAAGAAAATTAACTCTGCCCCAGCTACACCCAGCACATTACTTTAGCTTCCTTTGAAGCAATTACATGAGCGCTAATAAGACATTATTTAAAATAYGACATTTAAATAGCTTGCCTAGGAAATTCAACCCTGCAAAGAAATKGCTCCAAAATATTATTTTTCTTGGAAATTAGAGAGCTAAGGGACTCTAATTGCCATGCAGTTGCTCACTTTTTATTGCTTATTATGCCACTTRCAATGCTCCTAACAGGATACCTTTACTGTTCCAGAGTATAAACTCTGCCCGGGGAGTAGTATCACACAACAATGGTCATTTTAAAATATTTGTGTCCTAAAAGCCTGACCCAAAGCCCACCAAGGGCTGGGAGCACCAGGACAAAGCCAGGCTGGCTGCAGTGTCACCACCAACTGGTTTTGGGCAGCTGCACTAACTGCTCTGACCAGCAAAGCAGCCAGATTAAAGAGAAATGCAATCCTACAGGGCCTAAACACTGCACAATTTGTCTTCTCAAAATCAAAAACCAATTCGAATGGGAAAAAAACCCCAATATCATAATTCCATGTGGTGGCCCAGAGGAGCTGGGAAACCTGGCTGTGGCTTCTGTTCATGTTAGGTAGATCCAGGTGAGCAGGCTGTGTGTGCACTGATAAACCATCCCTGCCTGGCTTCAAGAGTGTTGAGGGTTTGAGACAGACTGGTGCCTTCCATCAGCTGCTCACTCAGCCGGGCAGGAGCCAGGGCTTATTGTGGCTAATTGAGCAGAAGTTTGCACAGAGATCAGCCACAGATACCCTGGCATCTGCCTGCTCAGTCCTGAAACATCGGTGTGTATGCACAGAGCCCGTGAGCGCTGCAGGAGCCGCGGGTGTTTGCTCCTCTTGGCACTGGATGCACTCCCATGGGCCAGCCTGGCTCACAGAGCTCACACCAGCAGCACACTGGATGCAGAGGGGCCCTTGGGGCCAGCAGAACTGCTTTCCTTCAGATGCACTGACTCAAACTTTATTCTTCTGTGCCTCTCTGTTATTTGGAGCGGGGGGAGAATATTCACTTTTTTTCCCTATTAACCTTTCAAGTTAACAAAGCGATTGTCCCCATCAGGAACCAACGATGAGGGGCCCAGCAGGCTTCCTGCTGTGCTCGTTSCTGTTGATGGCCCCCACCTCCACAGGAGTGGCTGCCCAGGAAACCCCGCCTGACCCCAAAATGCCATGTGCCAACTGGATGGGAGGAGCACCCGGCCACCCTGGCCACAACGGGGCCCCTGGCCGGGATGGGAAAGATGGAAGAGATGGACTAAAGGGAGATAAAGGAGATGAAGGTTGGTGAGGAACAGGGGGTAGGTCGGTGCTCAAGTCCATGGGCAGCCCCAGCCCCAGCCCCAGCCCCAGCCCCAGTCCCAGGTTTCATGTCTGGTGGGTCCATGCCTGATCTTTATCCAAATGGCTTTTGATTATCTCCTGGGTTGGAGATTCCATAACCAAGCCAAAGAATTGGGTGTGGTGGTTGTTTCCCCAGGTAATGATGTTTTTGCTGACATGCTGCTCTCAGCATCTCTGCACACAGCTGGGGTGGGGGTGAGCAGGGTTTCCACTGGCTGCCTCAGTTGCTGGGGGCTCCTGAGGTCCCTGAGCCTTTCSTCAGCTCCCTGCTGCTGAGCAGGGCTCACACCACAGCCCCCTCTGTGTTTTGATAGCGGCTGCACACAGGGCAAACACAACTCCCAGTCCCTGCTCTGTCCTGCAGGTCCAGCAGGTCCCAAAGGCGAACCAGGCCCAGTAGGRAACCGAGGATTCCCCGGACCTCCYGGATCTCCCGGAATTCCTGGAATCCCAGGGCAGAAGGGCAAAGATGCTTTTGTCCACCGCTCTGCCTTCAGCGTAGGGYTGACTGAGCGAAGCCCAGCCCCCAACGTTCCCATCCGCTTCAGCAAGATCTTCTACAACGAGCAGGGCCACTAYGACCCCAGCACRGGCAAGTTCATCTGCAATGTCCCCGGCACCTAYTACTTCGCCTACCACCTCACGGTCTACCTGTCGGATGTCAAGGTCAGCCTCTACAGGAAGGACAAGGCTGTGATCTTCACCTATGACCAGTTCCAGAGCAATAACGTTGACCAAGCGAGCGGCTCTGTCCTGCTGCACCTCAGCTCGGGGGATGAGGTCTGGCTTCAGGTGTATGGGGAGGGAGACAAAAATGGTGTCTATGCTGACAACCTCAAYGATTCCACTTTCATGGGCTTCCTCCTGTACCCTGACCCAGATAACTACTAAAGGASAGGGTGCTGCATGGAAGAGGATGAGGTGGCTTAACCCTGGACATGTCCTGGGCACTGGCGCTATAGCTATAATGTATTTACCAGAAAATTGCCTTWTGCAAGGGCAACGAYTGCCAAGGGGGGACCCTTTCTCCTRWGAAATCAGTGAGATTGTACCAGTACTTCCATGGAACCAAGAGTTCACTCCTACCTCTACTCTTGCTTTCCTGTGGAAACCTCAGCCCAAAGTCAAATACCACTCCTGCCATATCATGAAAAAGTAAGGTGGCTTAACCTTCTTTTAAATTTAAAAGTGAGAACAGAAAAATTGTTTCTATTTAAATATGACATTCTAAATGTCCCCTTTTTAGCCACCTACATCCATTTAAACAAACTGTAGAAACTTTAGCCAGCATTTTAAAGTTTGAGTAGAAGAGGAAAAAGACTATTCACAAAAGCAGAGTGCTCTAGAAAAGTGGCTCAATTTTTTCATTGAAACTCCCTCTTATYAGGACCTTTGACTTCCACTCCTGGTTTGTTGTGTCCCTTTTTTAGCCCAGATCTTTGAATATATTCAGGTTATTAACTTCCACTGATGTTAATCCTTTGTTTTTTCCTTTTATATTTATCCCCTATTGTTATCTCTAATGCAGACAGCAGGCTGGTTTAGGGCGGGATCTTTTCCTGTGATTTATCTGAGAAGCCTTATGAGCATTGGTGAGGCCACACAATGAAAGCRGCCCATTGACTGCATGGTTTTGGGGGTCTCGAGGTGATCATGGAGATCCAGCTCCATCTCCCCTCTGAGCAGCTCCCAAGTGCACTCAGAAGCTGAGGTCTATCAGCTGTGTTTCTACTTTTCCAGGCCCTAAGTGTGCCATAAGCCATGGTTTGCCCACCAGCTGGGCAGAGCTCCAGGTGGTGCTGAAGCCTCCCTCCCCTGTGGAGTGGGCTCCCAGGATGAGTACCCCCAGGCCCTGCCCCAGCTCTGGGCAAGGTTACCTGAACAGAAGAGTGGAAAGGCTGGAATTAGTGTCAATCCCATCAAACTGTRCTCCAAGGAGCTTGTTTGACTTTYAGCTAGAAGAGRATTTKATGGTTTCTCAGATACATTCAAAGAAGACYCCTGCTACTAAGCTTCAGCCCAAGCTAGCACAGATCAGAGCTAATGCAGTATTACAAGCACTAAATAGCATGAAGAGCTTCAACTGAAATTACTTGTAATGTCATTTTCCACACTCCAATGAATTACCACATACCACACTGCAAATAAAAAACAATWAAAAACTCTCTCAATGGGAATGTTTCCCCATTTTTGTGTGTGTGTTGTTGGGAAGGACTTGAAGGAAGGAATATACTCCTAGACTCACCAGACAGTGAAGGAAAATATTTTTTTTCCCAGCAAGGTGGGGGCACCATAGGCTGGCAAACAGTGATGCCCCCCCTTTTGCTTTCCCAAGAAACACTCCACACTCTAACTTCCACCAAGGCTTCGGCATCTCACCACTTTACTGTATTGCCTCCTTTTTGGATAAGATGAACTCTGGTTTCCAGACTATTTCCCCAATGAAATATCCTRAATCCAGCCTGAGTGGCCATCCAGAGTGAGGGCCTCAGCTGGCCACAAAGGTTTCAAGTACAATGGATTTAGCAAGGGTGAAACTGATGCTCAATCTGGTCATGCTAAATTCAGAGAGCTGGGAAAAATCCTGCTCTTATCATGGGAATTAAGGGGAAGGGAACAGGGSAAAGGTAAAAAAATAATAAATCCATAAACAAAAGCAGATTTTAAAAATGCAGCATTTGCTGGATCAAATGGCATAAGAAGCTTAAATTGAAAGGAACAAGTCAGAGCTTTTGCACTGKTTTTTTCCAGTGTTTTCAGATGGATGTTCAGAAGGCAGGGAAAATTGAAACAGCCAGAGCACTAAGAGGCATTTGGGATAAACATTAGGAGGCTATACAAGTTTAAAGACTAGTTCCCAAGRGGGAGCCAAAACAAATTACTGCTTTCTTTGCTGCCATGCAGCGGGAACAAACATGCTTACAGCTTTATCCAATACACCAACATTCCAAGGTTTAGAGCTTGGGAAAAATGTTAAAGAAAGCCATTAAGGCACTGCTGTTCCATATACTGACTCTTCCCCCTATTCACAGGGACCAATACTGAACTGCAGCTTCACCATGATACTGCAGGGGAGTTCCTGCATTGCTCACTCATGTCCCAGCCAGGCATTCAAAACCCAGCAAACCCAGCAGCCCAGGCAGCAGGCTGTGAACAAGGCAAACCCCCACTGCATGGAAACAGGGCTCAAAGCCTTCYCTTTGGGGATTGGGATGGTTTTAAGAAGCCTTTCACCTCAAATCTCTGTAAGATGCTTCCTCAGCTGAGACAAACAATTTCCAAGGCACCAAATTCTAGTTTAAGTCATGTCCCAGCTCTCTCATAAGGCAAATGCTCCCAGCAGAGACTCACTCTATGAACAAAGCAAGCACAGACACAGGGCAGGCAGAGAAGCACCCCCACATCTTCCCCACTGCAGCCCCACAGCTGCCCTTGCACCTCTATTCCTGCCTCCAGAGGCTGCCGAGCCCCTGCAGATGTCTTCACTGGGGTCTCAACCAGCCAAAACGTGCTGACAAGCTTCAGGAGCAGCAGCTGAGCACTGCCAGCACCCTGGGGAGTCCTTATAGCCCAGCACCTCCGAATTCCTGCATGTGGKGTGGCTATCAAACCTCCACCTTACCAGGTCTGCCTTGTCAGGGGCACATGCCAGGCTGACTGTAGTAGCCCATGGGCARGGAGATGCAGGGCACCACCCTACCCTTGGGCTGCTTTCAAGGAAGAGCTGCAAGTACAGTTTGGGAGAATAATGAGGTCCTGGAGGATGAGCTCAGGGGAGTTCCTAAGGCATCTGGCCTTTTTCCATTATGGAGTTGCTGTGGTTTTACTCTCCCTCCATGCTTCATAACCCTGTGGGAAGGGGAAACCAAGGCCTGGGCTGGCTGCTGAGGATCACATAATGCTTTGAACACACAACAACCTTGTAACAAAACAGCAAGAACAACACTGACATACTGAGAGCGCACAGAATCACCTGCTCTCTGACAAATTTCAGTGTTTTAGTTTGTGGTTTCTAATCAGTCCCGACAATAGATGCCTAGTACAGAGTTATGTCTCACTATTTACTGCTTCTCTGGCTGCTTTTCACTTTAGAAGCCAATGTGCTTTTAGAGGCAGAAAGCAAGTGCCTCCCCAATGAAAGATTGAAGTCACTGCACTAACAATTAGGGAGAAGTAACATGGAAGCTGGAGACAGCTGGAGAGACTAGCCAGTCTCATCCAGCAGGGGAACCATCTGTAAAAGCATCCATAGCCCTTTCAAATACAATTATAGGCTGGTCCTAATTGTACTTCAACCCCCTGTAATCACTTGTGCCAGTAATTAATTGGAATACAAATAGCAGCTGCACTAAACCATGAAGAGCTACAAGAAAAAGATAAATTGCTTTCAAGATTTGCATTTCTGAAGTATAAACTCATTAGAGGGTTTTCATCATGGAAGCAGGCAGAGGGATTAGGATCAAGTCCAGCATTTGGCTAATCAGCCACTCTTCTCCCAGGCAAGAAATGCCATCAGATGTAAAGTCTTTGAAACACTGTGGAGGAAACCAGAGGCTGCCCCGTTTCTGACATTCATGCTGGCTGTCGGTAGCTGAATGGAAAGACTCACTGCCATGGGACTGTAAGTCAGCAAAGCACCCTCAGCTCATCCTTGGACTCATCCCAGGAGATCAGCCCAGCCCACTGATCTTTGAGAACAGTGTGACTTCCTTACATGGAGGTGCAGTTCATTACCCTCCAGCCAGTCCAAGGGGAAGGAAACATTTATTCCCAATGAAATAGAAGCATTCAATGTCAGTATCTATTTCTTCCTACAGGGCTCATTTATTTCTTCCTACAGGGCTTTCCACACTCAAGGCAATCTGTGGGGTCCTTCCCATAAAGCAGGACAGGTTTATGGAGAGGCAGCAGGGAGAGAGGCAGACAGATCACACTTGCAGACAATCTAATTCCCTTTTGGAGTCAGGCAGGGAAGGGCAGGGGGTATGAACCAACACACCCAGCTCCATCTGATCCTCTGGGCATCTGTGAAAGTGGAGCTCTGCCCAAAGGAGTCAGTACAGCACCGCTTCTTTGCCCCTAGTCAGGCATTTCCACAGAAGCCATTCTAGCTCTGTACCATGTTTTGTCAAATGTTGTGAGGCCAAGGTGGATCTGTCATCCCATATGAAGTACAACACAGGGAATGTGATTCCCACACCACACACTCCCTTGGTGGGGCAGCTCCTGTCAGCACCAGGGATGCTCTGTCACATTCCCTTGCCAATACATATCCCCTTGCTCAGTCACTCACCTCATACACAACATTCTCAGCTGTGCATCTGTTTATTCATAATATACCAAATAGAGTGCTTTCTTCCAGGAAGTCTAAAGTGTACTGAGTTCATACAAGATTACATTTTTTTTTCTTAACTAAAAGAATAGCCTTCACAGAATTTGTGAATTTTAAAAGCTTTAAAAGACAGTGCTCCTGTCTCTCTCTGCTCTGAACTCCTTACAGCAGCTTGACTAAAAGGTTTGCAATTGAGGTCAGGATTCTAACTCTGCTGCTTGGCAAAGACCAACTGGAGCAAAATAAAAGGCAAACTAAAAAAAAAAAAAATAAACCTGAAAGCAAAAACGTGGAAGGAAATCTTCATGCTCAAAGCCACCCCTGYTGCCAAGGACTGACTTGCATTGTACTTTTCCAAAACACCCCTGGTGTGACACTGGCATTCCAACCCCATCACCAACAGGGAATTGCAGAGAACAGGGCTGCACTGTCATCTGCCCAGCATGTTCTAGTGTGCTCAACAACTGCACATTGAGAGCAGGAAGATGCGTGCCAGCTTCTCAACACCCCAGGGAAGCAGGAAGAAGTCCATTTATTCATCTAAATGAATTCCTTCTTTAGCAAGAAAGATATCTTCCACTTCAATTACTGGCATAAAATATTAAAAGGAAAACTTTTAATTCCTGGAAGTTAACTAAGCAAAAATCCACCACGGAAAAGCCACTATTGCCACAGWAGGTCTGAGCTTGCCTGTTCCTGTTCACATGAAGACTAGTGAAGCATTGGATACTGGATAACCTGGAAACCAGCTCAGAAGCAGCACTRTAAAAATATTATACACAGATGACAGCCAGCTTCCTTTAGCATGGCAACTTTYTCTCCCTCACAATGACTGGATTCTTCTAAGCTCAAAACAGATTGCATTCTTATTTCCAAAGAATGTACTGGGACAGTCTGCAGCTCCCTGCAAACAGAGCCTTGGCCTATTGACAGCATYGAAGGGAAGAGGCTGACATTTAAGTGTTTTGAAGCAATTCCTTTTCCTCTGTGCTGCACAACTGGCTACACCCTTCCAAGGCATTTCAGTACTTGGGACCTCGTCCTGCCAAATTTCAGGCAGGTCAGCTTTACAGGTTGCCAGCTGTCCCACTGCAGTCACTGGCACAATTCACACATTTATTCAGACTAGAGACTTTATTTGAACATTGAAGTATTGAGCAGTATCCAGCAGCTTATAAATGGGTGCAGATTGCTGTTATAATAGGCTGTTCCCTAAGAAACACTTACTATGAGAGGTGTCAATCTCCACAAAAAGGACAGGAATCAAAGCTCAATAAATAAATTGAGTAAGGCAGTCAAATGCCCTTTACATCAATTTTATTAGAGATTTTGACATCTTGTGATTATTTTCTGACACCAGGCTGATTGCCCACAGACTAATTAGACTGAAAGTCTCGACAAATGGTAACACAGAAATAACGTGAAGGGCATTTTGTTCTTCATCTAACACCACTCCAGATGGGATCCAAACAAATTCCAGTGTCTGATTGAAATTCTAACACACTGACAACCCTTTTTAGACTAGAGATGATGTGATACCCACCCTCAGTCTCACTATGCAGGAGGGATCTTCAGACAGCTACAACATGCAGATGTTTGGTGACATCCCATCCTAACTGGAAGAGCATTTCACTCGATCCCCTCCCAAGAGACTCACATACTTACCAGATTTAGGTGTAAAACYTAGGTAGCAGATTAGCAGCTGGGAATTAGTACTCACAATAGCTTCACCACCAGCAGCATTCACTGCACATCCAGGCAGCTGATGAGAGTGCACAGCTTTCTCCTTAAGAACTCTGATTAAACTCAAACACATTTAAACACTGCACAGATGAAGTTCCCACCCCACACCTACCACACTTCCCAGATGCCAGCAGTACTGCTGATGCTGCTTTTCTACATGAAACCAAGTTTCTGGAAATCTTCACAAAAAGGTGTCTTAGGTATACCGACCTAAYCCTTGATTGGATAGTTACATCCCACCAGGATGAAAATTCCTGCTGGACCCAGGAGCATTATTTGCTCTCTACCCAGTTCCATGGAGAGAGTTCCATGTTTTGATCAAGTGAGATGTCACAAAACTAGAACCACTTACCATTAGCACCTTCAAACCAATGTTCACTGAGGTTTTACACATCTTTAAAGGAGAGAACACCATCCATACTGAAGARTAACTGTTCAGGATGGGTTTGTATCACAGAATATACACCTACTGTGTGATCAAACAGCTCAAGGAAGCAAATGAACAACAAAATATGCACAAAACATTGACAAGRAAGTATTCCAAAACCAAGATGACTATTCTGAGGAATCAGCAAAAGTAAATAAAAGAGCAGAGGAGGACAGTTGCTTCTTGAATCTTATTTCATCTTTTGCACCTGCCCAAAATGCAGCCTCCATTTCCTAGCAGCAACTCACTTCTCAAAGCCTAGTTTGGAGTAAAGCACAGCACCAAACCCAGAGATAGAACTTGTCACCACTAAATTGTTTGACCTAGGAATGAGGAAAACTGGAAACCCCAGGCTCTCAGCAAAGCAAGCACTGAGAGGGAGACTGCCTGAGAAAGGCTRCTCTTCAGGGACACAGCACAATGCCAGGCACYAAGCAGAGTAAATGTCAGAATGTTSATTTAGTGTACACTGCATGATGAAACACAGGCTGTTCAGAAAGCCACAGGAACACAATCAAAACCATCTAAATCCTACTGGTTTATTGTGCTTACAATTTTAAGCTCACTGGTCAGAACAGCTATTGTTAGATTTAAGATTTCCTTTTTTAAGGCAAACCAAWGAAATAAAAATGTGACAGAAATATGAGAGGAAAGGGTTTCACTGAAATTTAAGTMATGTAAAGCATTTAAAGAAGGATCAATCACAGTATTAAGTTTGTGATCAATTCATGGAATACAGTTTGCTTTTGAGATTAGACAGCATTACACACTTGACTCTGAAAAAATATACTACAAACTCACCTRTTCCTTTCATTCTGAGATTCAGTTTGGTCATTGAACAGTAAAAATTAAACATTTCTACATTCTGAAACACTTCCATCAAAATCCAAACTAATGTTTCAACAACCTGATTCATATACATCATACCTCTAAGTACAAATAATCACATTACCTGCTGGGGGAGAAAAGAAACACAAAATTATTTTTATTCTATAAAGTACAATTTCGAGAATGAAATTTATTTCTAAAGCCAAGCATTCCCATGGCCTGGGGTCAGAACATTTCTCTGCTTAATGTATCAAGGTGAAATTACTTTTTTTTTCCGTGTTCCCTAAATTGAAAGTGAAGTACTGATGGTAGCTCTGTCTTTAAACAAAAGACAACCCACACTCTTCTCAGTGTGACCAACAAATGAGTTGGACTATTCAGAACAAGCAACCTTCTCATCCTGAGACAATCCTTTATTGTGGGATGAACAACACTTTTCTAGGCAGCAATGTACCCTACTGCGTATCTTTTCTGTAATATCCAAAAGCAACAGTGAATTATTTAATTCCAAAATAATCACTCTAGGAGATTTCAGAACACGGCAATATCCACTTTCAAAGTATAAGCCAGAGAGAGATGGTTTTCTTTAGTATTTTATTCAATAAGCACATCAGCAAATCAAATTTCCAGGAAAATCTAAACACAGCTTCCTAAAAACAACAGTGCACATTTCCTGCCTTAGTTATCTTTAACCATCTGCTTTTCATATTCCCCAAACAGCTTATACAGGTCTTTTTCCCCCCCTCTGTGATTTTCCCATTTTGATTACTTTAATAAATAAYGGACTGCACAGGCGATCCTAGAGAAAAATCCACATCTCAGCACTGCACAGCTGGCCAACTAARTTCACTGGATGTCATCATCATCAAAGAGATCTTCAAAATCTAGTTAGAAAAATAARACAAAAATTAACCTTAGAAGTGTCWGCTATTACCAATGCACATACAAGTACAATATTTCATTACTTGGATTAATGACAGAAATAAAGGTGGATTTAGTGAATGAGAGTTACTGCACCATCAGTTATTAGAAATGTAGGAAGAGACAGCAAAGGCAGGCAGACCCACACACATGTTCTCTGTTATGGACAAATTAAACTGTTTCACCTGCACAATACAAGCTTTACAGGTAGGCACACAGAAGAAAAGCTTCAAAGGAAGGGATTTCATAAAGATATTAAGTAGCCATGACAGAGAGGCTCAAGCATGAATCCCAGAGTCCAAAACTAAACAAATACTAGCTTTATACATGCAGCAAGTCTCAGATGTAGACATTACCACAGAATTCTGGCTTTTGGTCCCACCATCTAGGCACACATCCCTCAAATTTGCAGATTAACAAATTGAGATTTGTTTTATAAACCCCTTCCCTGAAATAATTTAWTTGCTTTAAAGGTGCCAATAACATTTCTGTATCATAACACATCTACCACTAGTGAAATGCGCTTGGCTACTCACAGCTATTCTAGTCACTTTTGGAAGTACTCTTAACTACTCAGCTTTGCATCTTCTTTGTATATTGAACATAAAACTAATAGTGTAACTGAATACAAATCTTTGTTGTGACAGATAGAATCAACTGAGAATGAATCCTCATTTAAAAAGGTCTTAAACTACCGATGGAATATAACACCACAGTGTGATGGTAGAAATATATGGAAATAGCTATTCCTGAATTTGCTGGCTCCAACAGATAGCTGGGTGTCCCCCACAACTACTGAGAGTAGAACTGCCTTTTACTCCTGCATTCTAAGTCCTGAGCAACATGAGAAACCTACTTTATTTTGGAATTAATAGTAGTTTGTGGTACTAACACCACTACAGCAAGCATATTTAACRACATCTAAAACTCCCTTGCTAAAAAATGTCTAAATTCTTCAGAAGCACAAAAACTCTTTCGGCGACCAAATGCAAAATGCCATATATTCTACACCTAAGTGGTCTGATACATAGCTCTTCCCTCAAAGCAACTAAACACTAACATATAGGCTGACARAATTGGSATTGTTTAGCCTGGAAAAGAGACACTTCAGGGTGACCTAACTGTAACCTTTTAGTACCTGAGGGTGCCTACAAGAAGACTGAGAGACTATTCACAAGGGCCTGGAGTGACAGGGCAAGGGGKAATGGCTTMAAATTGACAGAATGGAGGTTTAGGTATTTGAAAAAAAATCCTCCCCTGTGAGGAAAGTGAGGCCCTGGCACAGGGTGCCCAGAGCAGCTGTGGCTGCCCCATCCCTGGCAGTGTCCAAGGCCAGGCTGGATGGGGCTTGGAGCARCCTGGGACAGTGGRAGRTGTCCCTGCCCATAACAGGGGSGTGGAACGAGGTGRTCTTYAAGRTCTCTTCCACCCCAGGCCATTCTGTAAGTCTGCCATTCTATATGCATATAACTGACTTTCAAATGCAGAAAGTATATTAAAAATAATGTTTATTTTCGTTTGGATACATACACACGTATACTTTGAGAGATTAATGAACTACCACTAAACTACTAATACCCAGAGACACATTTTTTAAGTCCTGCCCACATTTTTACATGTATTTGCAGTATTTAACATAAAYTATTTATTATGTGAACAGACCAGAGTATTTTTCCTTATAGCGATTAACACGTTAAAACCTCCAGGGTAGTAAAAGCCCACATTTTACCGCTCCCACCTGCAACATTTAGCTCTCACACCGTTCCCCAGATATGTGGTTAGCGAGAAGTATAGTAACTACCAGGCAGCAAAGCCACGAGAAAGAAGCCAGGCCAGGTTTGCTGGGATAACCTCCAGCCCTGCCGGAGCACGGCACTCCTTACCGTTGAAGAAGTCGGCGTGCACCGCTTTCTCGTTGGCGGCCAGATCCATCAGCAGCCCCGTGCTTCCTCCTGCCTGCGAAAGCAGCCGCTGAGCGCCTCCGCGCCGTGGCAGCACAGCCCCGCCACCGCCCGCAGAGCCCCCGCCTCACCTCATCCAGATCCACGTAGGGGCCGGCTCCCTCCGGGAACATCTCGTCCACCGCCGGCTTCATGGCGGCCGCTCCGTGAGGGCACTTCCGGCGCGGGGCGGGGCCACCRCCAATGGCGGGCGGGGCCGCGCCGTTGCCATAGTAACCGGCCCTGGCTGCCGCCATCTTGCTCCCCGCGCCCTTGTCGCCATGGTGACGGCGGGCCCGGCGCCGCCTCAGGCCTGAGCGAGGCAAACGAGATGTAGGCGGCTGATACTGTTATAAAGCGTSAAATAACTCCTCTACACAGCGAGCGGGCTCCTGAGACAAAGCTGTGAGCATCACCTGCCAAAAAAATACCTCCCAAAGGCATGCAGCAGAATGGAAGAGTTTATTGTTACACAAAGCATAAATTGTAAAAAAGGGACTAATTTAAGGCATGAAATGCTGCATGTGGCTGCAGTGTCACTTAGTGGCTGAGGCACAGTCCAGGTGCATTTGCTGGCAGTCAGGTATTYACTCCAACACCTCTACAAGAAATGGTAAAAGAGATTAATTGAAAGCATGAAATGCTGTCCATAGCCATGGTATCACAAAGTGCTGAGGGCAGCCCAGGGGTGTTCCCTGGCAGATGGTGCTCACCCAAACGCCTGGGCAGCAGCTGAGGGAAGCTGAACTCAGTCCTCACGGTCCCGCACATGATAGCCAAGGTAGCTCCCAAAAGGGAACTGGGCAAAGAAGGCTCTGGCCATGTCATTGATCCAGTTGTAGGCACCCAGGGTACGGAAATATTCCACGTAGGACCAGAAATCATTGGATGAGAAGGGCCAGTACGGCAAGGCTACAGCTTCCCCTAAAAAAAACAGAAAAACCCAATCAAAATAAAATATTGCAGATGACTGTAATAAGAAGCACATCTGTTGAAAGCTTGGGCCTGGAATCCATATGGTTTAGGGTTGTGAGTTCCCTTTGGGGGCTGGTGGGCTCCTCTGGCAGAAGAGAGGCAGTGAGAGCCACTGACTGCTCTCTGTGACCCTCTCTGCAGAAAATGGAGCTGGTGTTCCCTGCTCCAGAGGCACCAGGAGTGATGGAGTTGCACAACATGGGGAACAGCAATGAAGGGACACATTTATGCCAATTCAAGAATTCATTGGGCTGGTTTAATTTCCCGAAAGCTGCTGGTTTTTTAAAAAGCAAGGAGCAATTGCGATTGAAAGCCATATTTCTCATTCCACACAATTTGCTTTGCCCAACACAAAAATACAAGGAATAAGGCACCACTCTCTATGCTGTGCCCCTGCAGCTGCCCACACTGACCACAGAACCCCAGGGACAGGGCCCATTCTTCTCAGATATTGCTTGGAACTGAAGAGTTTTGCCTCTTCTCAGGGGATGTAGAAACCAGGTAAAGGGATGGAGAGGGAAGGCTTTGCCACTTGGGAGACAGATGCTGCATTTGTGCCTGCTCTAGCAATATCAGAAAATGTGATACTGTCACTGAAACAAGATTTCAAAATCAGCAGGAAAACAAAAACAGTTCTGAAAATGCAGGAGCTTACCACCCTTGGGCCCAAATGTGGGCAAACAGAGAACCATATATAAAATGTAAACAGCAGCTGAGACCACAGTCACAAACGTTTTTCTATGCAGCGAAGCTAAACCYAGTATTTTGTTTTGATTTAAAACCTATTTAGATAAACGGGAGCCATTCCCCTCAGCTTGGGACCAGGGACTTTAGTAGGAATTAAGAGCTTTCAACAATCCTGTTGTCAGACTTTAATTTTAGAGTAAAGTTTGCAGCGGACAGGCACAGATGGCACATAACAAACGAAATGAACCAGCCAAATGCTGTCTGCAGAGGAGGGCTCACTGTTTTGTGCCAGCTGACCTCAGATTCACTTTGCAGGCTGCTGCTTGGCCCAGTGTGAAAGAAAACGATAATTGCTGGTAATGAGAGCAACAGGACACTGCTTTAACAGGGTTCTGTTTCTAGATTGATGCAGGCTGTCCTGACTGTCTCAAAGGTTGCCACAAAAGTACTTGCTGTGCACAAACACAGATGATACATTAAAAAGATTTTAGAGCCATTAAGAAATAGAATGAGACATAAGGGAAAAAAAGGTTTGAATTATAAGTAATCAGATTAGAACCTTATTCCATATTTGTCCTGTTCATATGTGTTATAATACTCTCTGCATATTTGTGCCTGGAGATGCTGCTGTCCTGCTGGTTAACTGAGATGTACACCAGCAAGAGCAGTACTTGATTATTGCAGCTACTTCTCTGCAACTTTTGAAAAGCCAAAGAAGTCAAATGATAGGATCATTGGTAAGCCAGTGTAAACATCATTAGGGTGTTAAAGGTTTTTTTAATCAAAGGCAAACACTAATCCAATGGACTAATCACACAAATTGACATGAACCACAGGGTAGCTGTGCTAAGGGATTTATTCCAACATTTCTTTAATTGGATTTGTGGCAATTTGTAAATTTTAAGCTTTTCGTCATGAAAGTCAGTCTATCTTGCCAATAACCAGGCACACATGCAGCATTATTGCTCAGGACAGACAAAATTCTCAGATTTCCTATACACTTATAAGTCTGGTTCTTTCCAGTTATGATTTTGTACAACAGAATTAGTAACTTAACTGTAATGCCTTTTCATTTTAAGACTGATTATATTAGCTCTACTATGATACATTAATAAGCCATCAGCTTTTAATAAATTTTAAAGGAATTTTTAAAAATTCACTATTCTTTTTCCCAAACTAATTGAAAGCACTTCTGTAGTCCACTGAGGTGAGTAAGCACTCCTGCCAAGGTCACTGCTGGGCATCAAGTCTGGGAGTTACAAATTATTCTCCTAATTATTAATGATACAAAGCAAATAAAAATATATTAGGAGTTACCATGTCCATCCTGGATGGATCGGGCATCTGTAAATAAAGAGGAAACGCATCAATACCAGCTCTTCCRCAGAAAGACTTTCTGTTAATGAAATGGGAATGTTATTTCCCATGTTTAACTGGTAGCTGACAAGTTCTCTAATGACAAGTTCTTTAATTCTTTAGTGTGGGACCCTCTGTGTAGCCAAAGGATTTTTGTTTCTTGAACAGCAGAGCAAGAAATTGCCTGTTTGCAATCAGTCGGTGCCATGAACCAACTTAGCCTGTTAGTCATAACTCACAGTCAGAACAGCTGGGATTAATAAGTGAGTGACACTAAACAGAAAATACTGTATTTGTAATGAAATATTTCTGGTGGCTTGAAAAAATAAACAAGAATAAATTCAGCAGTAATCTTACCTGTTAGCATATTCATCATCATACAGAAGAAAAATAAGCCAGTAAATGTCATCTTGTCTGCAAGATAGTGCTTGTGTTTCTGAAAAGTAATCTGTACAATTGAGGATTATTAACAGAGATTAATAATTATGCAAACTCTATTATTTTTTGTGTTAACAGAAGAATACATTCCAAAATAGATTCTAGTTACTAATTTAGGCATAACCAAATCCAATTACATTTCTTACAGTTTCTGAAGTGCAACACCGAGTATTAAAAGAACATCAGTTATGAAATGTTATGATATCTTGGTTTCAGATGGCATAAATCCAAAAGGTTCCTCTGAATTGACATGAAATTAAGTGTCTTTGGAAATGTTTGATTTTGTGGTTAATTTCGTTTCACTTGAGAAATTACCTCTCTCTTGCTCTTCTTTTCTTCTTGTTGAAGCTCTGAGTCAGCTACAAAACTCCAGAAGGATTTCTATTGCTGTAAAATAGCAGTACTGTGTAAGGAAGGGTGGGGGGACAAACGTCACTGAGTTACTACACCAATCTGATTTTGTGTCCTTCAGGTATTTTAACTGTTCACATTTTGCATTATACATCAGCACTGCCCATGGAACAGACAGTGGACAGTTTTTTGAGAGGAAATCAGAGTCAGCTTTGGCAATAACACTTGTTTTTTGGAAGACAGAGGGAAAAAAATCCAGAAGCAAATTGAGTGATTATTACAGATGCTGCCCTCCTGATTTTCTTTCTTTCTGCCCCTTYAGAAAAATAAATTTTCAAAAATGTKGAGCAAATTGCTAAAATTATATTGAGTTTCTTCTCCATCTGAGTTACAAAATCCAGAAATAYTTGACTCTGCTTTATGTTCTTACTTAAGATCCTTAAAATCTAGACCTTGAAGTGTACACAGGCATCAAGGGCCCACTAAAATCAATTGGGTTACAGTAAGTAYGGAAGGAGGTCCCCAGTGACCTCAGCCATGCTGATGGTGCAGGTGCCTTCAGAGGGTCGATAAAGTGCATTGAAATGAATTTTCACGTGATACCGATTTCCTGGAGAGATTCCTCTCCCACACCAAGCAGATGCTTTGGGCTCCAGCCTGTGCAGGCTGCTGAGAGAATCCAGCACTTTGGGAAGCCTGGAGGGGAGAGAGTTTGGAGAACATTCAATTGACACATACATCTTGATTTTCTTTGAGCACACAACCCCTGATGGCAGCAGGTGTAGCAGAAAGTGTTCTGGGAYTCACAGGGAGGTGTGGGGATTTCCATGCTCCTTGCAGATGTGGCAGTTCAGGTCACCTTGCCAAACCTGGCAGCTGTTTCCAGACTGTTCCTCTCTTGAGAGGAGCTATTGAGATGCCAGTGCAGAACTCACTGTGCATGTTCATGCTGTGAGATCTGATTGTACAAATGCTGATCTGAGTTGCACTCCCTTGCTGGGTATTTTCAGTTGCCTTTATGTTCTACAAAATCATTTCTCTGTGTCAATTCTAGATCCCTGCATTTCCCAACTGCATGTGTGGGTCCTGACATTGGTGCCTTTGCTACCCATCTACCATAAGAGTACAGAGAAAATCTGCCTCCTCACAAAGTCCTGGAGCAGAGAGACCTGGGTGAGTGGCCTTGCAGGAGGACCCAGCTTGGCTGCAGTTTATTCCTATCTACAGACAGATAGTTTTGTCAAGAATTAATTCAAGTTATTCTGAGCAAGAGGGGAAAAAAGGGTGCTTTGTAGCACACTAGGCTGTGCCAACTCTTGTGGAGGCTGGAAGAAAAATATTATGAAAGCAGAACCTATTCCATTTTTGAAAGGCTTTAATCCTCCTGCTTAATATATGTTTCCCAGGCCTGTAGGAAGGGTCCCTACATGAGCCACGTTCTTCCAGCACCTCAGCCCACTCACCTGGGTTGCAGCAGCTGTGAGTGGGAAAAGGCATTTCCCTGCTTGGTGAAGTTCTTTGCTGCATCCATTTACCTGGATCCACCCACCAGCACTGCCTGCACAGCCAAACATTTCCTTGCACTGCCTAGTCTGTAAAGCCTGCTCAAATAAACAATCAGAAGCACTGAGGTGTGCTAACACACACACACGAAAGAGTCATCAGCTGTAATTGAATAATTGCTATGTGCTACTTCTGTGCACATCCATCAGTAGCTTTGTGTTTTGGCAGTGGGTAAGCGGTGTCGTTCCAAGGGGGAAGTGAGATAGCATGTTTTGGATGATGACAAAGGACARTAACAATGCTCCTGATGCAGTCACATCCTACAGCTCTCCCCTTGAGATATTAACAGTACTGTAGGAAGATGACAAAGTGACCCTAAATCTGATAACCTCTGGGAATCTGGTCACAGCATGGTCTGCTACAACACTGAGTGTTTTTGGAAGGATTCACACAACTATTGGGCTGACATACACCTTTACACCTTATTCTGTCTTGTGAAGCTTGGAGTTACCCTCTTCCAGGGCWAGGAGGATCATTGATGTGGCATTGTGTGACAGTCTTTTTAACAATTGCACACTTGCAATTTAATTCAAATCAAAGTTTTCCACTTGCCAGTGCACATATTGGARATGTGAATAAATTCTCAGGGTTTCYATGCTAAAGCACCTCTAGGAAATTATAAAAAGAGGATGAGAATTAGCACTGAAAACTTGCATCACAGGATACCACCTCTTCTTTCAACACTTCTGTTACTGTATGTGACTACTTGTCCCAATTGGATCAGTTTTAAAAACAAAACTGGACTAGASAAAAACTGATGAATTCTCATCAGCTGCTTGAAAGACTGTGCCTGGTGGGTTCAGTGTGCCAAAYAGACCACCACATCTTCTGGGACCAGCCAGAGACCACGATTTGCAGCATTTGTAACACTCTGCAAGCACATTCATTTCATCCTCTCTCTTTTTCCTTCCCCTTCTCTTTCTCTAGGAGCACTTTTCCTTTTTTTCAAACTCAACACAGATGGCAATTAAAATAACAGCACGGGATGTCCAGCACAAGTGCTGGCATGGATCAGCTAGCAGAGCCCTCTGCTAACAGTTGCTGCCCTGCAGGCTTCCTCACTGCTGAGCAGTAATTGGAGATGCCATGGTGCCCACAAATGCAAATCTTGCTCAGTAGCAGCCACATTTCAGCAAATACTACAGCACTTAACAGGGCAGCTGCTTAATGAGCTCAGTGTCTTAATTTCTACTTCTTTTGGAAAGAAATTTACTGTTCTACCCTTTTTCAGAACAGCCCATTAGCTCAAAATGCTGCAGTTCCTGCTGGCAGCAAGTTCTTCAGGTTCTGTACTCTAAAGTTGGCATACGTTTTTTTAGCTAAGGCCATTCACTCGTAAAAACTTTGCTACACAATAGAAAGGGCTGTTGTTTTTTCCTASCCACCCATCCCAGGAGGATCCAATCAATATGTACTTTTCGTAGATGGCTCTGAAAGCCAGAAAATCCCACACAGAGCTGTGTCAGAGACMGAAATCAATCGCAGCAGAGAGGACAATCCCTTAGGAATAGGGGAATGCAATTTGGGCAGCAGTTGTTTGTGTGACTCGACAGGGAGCAGTGCTGGAATTGCCAGCCTGCCTTCAGACGGGCCTGTTACTAACTGGCTGTTTTACCTAGAGCCAACCCCTGTGGAGCAATTCAACTCTCCTTGTCGATTAACTTGAAACAGAGAGAAAGGAATACATAAAAGCAAGTTTATGGATGCCTTTGTTTTCTCAATAGCTGTATTAGATTGGTATCACACACACAAAAATCTATAATCCTCCAGGCACTGAAAAAAAATCCTATGCTTCATTAAAAAAAAAAGACCAAAAAAACCCAGAATCGTTCCTCTTTAATCAATAGGCAAAAGCAAATGCATGCAGAGCTCCATAAGAACTTATTTGAAAACTAAGTRGGACTTAAAGATGCATCTGAAGTGCTTTGCCCTTGGGCTGAGCAGACAAAATGTTCTCCAYAGGGTACAACACTTTTGTACATCAGAAACAACTAACRACAGTGATMTATTGACCATCCCWAAAAMMAMMAAMCMMMAAATGTTTGATYATTTCTTCCAGCAATTTGTCCAAATAAAACAGGTCAAAAGGAGATTCCTGTGACTAGAATATGCTTAGCTCAGACAGGTGTATGGMTCTCACAGTACCAAAAAGCTGAGATACATAGTGGCCAGTCTAAGTAAATGTAAAATTAGGTACCTGTGTAAATTTCTCCCACTTTCAAGGCATGTAGTTTCTGACCATTCCCACTCAGAAACTAGATTTGGAGCTATAAATGATAATTGTGGTATAACGTYCTTTAATGTTCAGTCACAGACAAAAAAAACAAAAACAAAATAAGAGAGGAAACAAAACCTATATGGCATCACTTTGYCATTGCGCCAATTGGTCCATTTTGAATATTGCCTGCATTTTTTGGTCTCACCATAGGAGAAGGTTATGTTCAAACAAGACAAGATACAAAGAAGGGTATGAGGGAAATTAGCAGACAAGGATGAGCTAAAGCAGATTGGTACTCCTCAGGCCAGTRAAAGAATAACAAGACCTTGATTTCTGCTAAGAGATTCCAAAGTAGTCTGGCAGCAGCTTATTCAAAACAAAAGGTGGTGCAGCTTGATACAGTTAAGCTGTGGAATGTCTCATCATGATGCATCATCAACTCCACACTGCCCTGGCTGCAGAACTGCACTGAACTTTCACTCTGTGTTTCACTGTCCTCTGACACCCTCTGCTGCTGGGCCTGGTGAGCTCCCAGGCTGACCCTCTGGTTGATTTTACAGTCAGTTTTACTGAAATACTACATATTTCCAGTTCTTGTGAACAGACAGCTTTCCTGCCAGCAACTGGCTTGCTCATCCTGATAATAGTAGCCCCTGGAAGCAATTGAAGGGAGACATAGCAGATGGATTTGGATAGTTACAAAACCATTAACAGAATAACTGCAGTGCTATTASAGATAGCCCAGTGAAAATGAACCACTTTCAGCTGTACTAGAGCTAATTGTGAAGGTCAGAGCTACAAACCATAAAGTTAAGAAGTAGCTCTACACTTAAATCAAT